ATTCATATATGCATAAAATATAGTTGAATAATTATATTTTTATTTTTTACAGAGAGCTGATAACCAGTTAGGTTTAAATATTGTGCCATTTTTTTTTCTCAAAAAAAAAAATGCAGAAAAATGTATGTTATGACCCATTTAATGTAATTATATTGTTATATAATTTCTGAAGGTAAGAGTGTTTGTCTGTGTGCTGATCCTGGTTCAGTAGTTGCAGTAATATGTTAGTAAAGCTCAGCAGCTTTGGCGTCCTCGTCTCGTCTCGTCTCTTAATTCAGCATTAGTTGTCTTCCTTGAGTCTAATCTGAACTGAGGTCAGTTTTGAGGATGTTTCTCCACTGATGAAGTAGCCGTTTCCCATACTCCCCGTCTGCGGAGGTGCTTTTCGCTGCTTCCTCATTCTCAGGATTGGTCTTTTGGAGATTTGTGATGTGTTTTAAATCATCGGTAAGCCGTTCGCATTGCATAAGTGCTCTAATCCTGAGGATAAATGCAAAACAGATGAATGGAGCAGCGCTTTTGGGCCTCCTGCGGCGGAGCGTCTGCGGGGTCAGACTGAGGACACACACTCCTCGTCTTCCTCTTTACCGTGTTTACTGTGTCCTCACTAGACCTCGCTCTGTTCAAGTCTTGAATATCATTCAAGTGAGCAGATCATGGAAATCAGGATTTCCCTCCTTCCTTTCTTTTGAATTTAGAGTTTAATTTCTTCCTCTTCTTCTTTGTCCCCTTGTCTTTCTCTTCTTCCTCTTCCTCATGTTCATGTTTTTTGGAATATATTTTCTTCCTCATCATCTTCATCTTTTGTTGTTGTTGTTGTTATTCTTCCTCATTCTGCCTCATTATGTGCTTCTGCCTCTTCTTCCTCTTTTTATTCTTAATTTTCTTTTTCCTCTTGTTTTTCTCATCGTCTTCATCCTCCTCTTCCTCAATGTCATCTTCCTCATCTCCGTCATTTTCTTATTTCTCCTTTTCCTTATCTTATTCTTCCTCCTCTTCTTGTTTTTGTTTTTATTGTTGTTCTTCATCATAGTCTTCATCCTCCTCTTCCTCCTCTTTTCCTCTTCTTGTTTTTGGTGTTGTTGCTATTCCTCCTAGTTCCTCACCGTCTTATTCTTCTTTTCTGTTTTTTCACCATCCTCATCTTCTTGTTTTTTTTATTCTTCATCTTCCTCTTCTTTGTCATGTAAGTCCTTATCATCTTTCTCATCTCCATCTTATTCTTCCTCATCTTTTTTTCTCATTATCTTCTTCCTTTTGCTCTTCTTCCTTATCTTCCTTTTCTTTTTCCTATTTTTGTTATTGTTATTCCTCCTCTTCCTCATCATCTTGTTCTTCCACTTATGTGCCTTCCTTATCTTGTTTTTTATTTTTGTAATCCTTCATCTTCCTCTTCATTGTCATTTTATCATCATCATCATCATCTTCCTACCCCTCTTCTTCTGTATTTTTTCTTCCTCATCATCTTCCTCTTCTTGTTTTTGTTATTCCCCCTCTTTCTCATCTTCTTCCTCCTCTGCTTCTGCTTCTTGTTGATTTCCATCTTCCTCTTCTTTTTTTTATCTACTTCCTCCTCATCTTCTTGTTTTTGTTCCTCTTCCTCATCTTCTTCCTCCTCTTCTTCTGCTGCTGCTTCTTCCTCATCATCTTTTTATTTGTGTTATTCTTGTTCTTGTGCTTCTTTCTTGTCATCATTTTCTTTGTCTTGATTTCAACAATAATTCTCGAGGCAGTTCTTGTCAGCCATTTCCCTTTATTATGCATAATCTGTAGTTCTTCATCTTTTTGTGAACACTGATAGTTTTGTGCAATAAACTGTGATTGTTTAGTCTGATATTTGTTGAACGTAATCCTTTGACTAGGTTTGTACATTTCTATTAAGGGTCACAGCAGTTTTTGGTGTCATTAGCAGTTTGCATAATGATCATAAATAACCCTGTTCTGTCGTTGCATCAGCTCCAGATTGGTGGCCACAGTCCTACTGTACGATACATTTATCACAGTATTAAATCATTTCTCAGCACTGTAAGTCATTTGAAGCATTTGTCTGCAGGTGATGAGAGCGATATAAATATGATCGGTGGCAGACATGGATAGAAAGTCAGCCATGAGGTCACCCAGACTCAGTGTCATTGCTCTGCTTCCTCTGGCAAATGTGTCATGAGATGCGGATCGTTTGCCCGGCCAACATTTCAGCGCGCTGCCTGTGTCCTCATTGGCAAAGTCGTAAAAATAGACTGGGTCTGTGTGGCCCATGGGAGGTTTGGAGGCACACAGACACCGAAACGGGAATAGAGACAGAATCGCTGTCCACAAGGGTGAAGGTAAGACTGAAGGTTCAAACTCTGGGCAAAGACATCAAAAATAAGCAAACACACAAATAAGAAAAATAATAGAAACAATTACAGCCTCAAACTTGGCTGAATCATTCAGCTTTCTGAGGACACACAACCAGTAAACCATTGTTTATCTTCATGTCTCAGTTTTTTTATAATAATAATAACAATAATAAATTACGTTGTTAATGGAGAAAATACTATCAAATACTAAATACTAATATATTTAAATTTATTTTATTTATTTTTTAATAATAATAATAAATACTGTTGTTAATGATGACATTTAAAAAAAATACTTTTATTAATCTATAAAATGTGTTATATGTTTGTTTACATATGGTTATGATGATGATGATGATGATAATAATAGTAAATATTATTATTTGAATATATAAATATATTAGTGTTTAGTTTTTACCAGTATTTAATGATTTTTAATTACCAAATGGCATTTCTTCTTATTATCTATAATAAATAAGTACATACATTTTTTTTTAATTAATTAATAATAATGTTCTGGGATATTTCAACCTATTGTCTATGGCCCACATGCTGTTCATTATCATGGATAATAATAATTTGAATCATGCCAAAACGAAATTAAATATACGTATAATGGAAGTCTTAAAATGGCAAAAATGACTACCAAAATAATTCATATTCCTGTTTCCTGTTGAGCTTCCTTTGAAAGTGCATTATTGTAAACACTTGAGACGTGTCAATTACCGTCTGTGGTGATCAGTATCATGAATAGAGATGCTGTCCATAGACATTTAGTTGAAAATGAGAAAAAAGGCATTCCTAATAATCGTTGACCCAGTTGATGTGTTAGTAAGTGAGCGGTTAGTTAACTGCACTCCTCAAAGTCAAGCAGCCTCTATCAACGAGGAGAACTAAACAGGACGTGACAGTTTTGGGCTAGACGGCCATGGTTTTTTGGCATCTTTCCCTCTTTTACTCTCTCACGTCTCGTTCTGGATTGTGTGCAGCTTCCACACCCGCCAGCTGTTGATTTCCCAGCATGCTCTCAGCCTCATCACGAACGCCTGCGGACCGACTGGTGACGGGTCATAACTCACCATAACCTACCAAAACACATCTTCACTAACTGGCACAGTCGCCACATCTTTGCTTCTCTTTACAGCTTCTAGTTTTGTCTAAGATGAGCAGTTTATGTGAATGTTACGGGCCGATGAATGAAACCGAGCGTTCCTGATGCCATCTGAGAGCAGACATGGCTAAAGGCTCGTCCGGCTCGACAGAAACAACAGAGCTGACGGCATGATGCTGCTCATAGCTGGTTTAGTTGTTTTCTTCTGAATATACAGCACACATCTCTTTCCAGCACATCTCATTCCCTATTGTGCATATTCAGTGTGCATATCAGGGATGTTTTTGGCATCAATAATGCTGCATATGTGTTGCATAAATGTTTCTGAAAGAAGCTCACCAAAGAAGCTCACCAAAACTGCATTTATTTGATCTAAAATACAGTAAATTATTGCAATCTAAAATAATTATTTTCTATGTGAATATATTGTAAACTGTAATTGGTTGCTGTGATCAAAGCTGTATTTTCAGCATCATTCCTCCAGTCTTCAGCGTCACATGATCTTCAGAAATCATTCTAATATGCTGATTTGCTGCTCAAGAAACATTTATGATTATTATCAATGTTGAAAACAGTTGCGCTGTCAAAAAATTGTGCCGAAACTGATGCATTTTATTTTTCAGGATTCACAGATTCAATTCAAAAGAACAGCATTTATTTGAAATAGAAATATATTGTGGCATTATACAGTAAATGTCTTTACTGACACTTTTGATCAATTTAATGCAGCCTTGCTTCAAAGAAATATTTCAATAAATAAATAAATTCTTACTGACCCCAAACTTTTCAGTTTCAGTAGTATTTCAGGTAATAACAGCTTAAATTTCATAAAAGTCCGTCTGCTGAAGACTAGGACTATAGGACATCAGACATATTGACTATTTTAATGGTAATTTTTTTATGTTTTTTGACCCTTTTGGAGCTGCTTTGTGTAGACAAAAATGAAAATCAGCTAAATTTAATGTTTTCCATGAAATAAAGGAACTTGAGGTTCAGTAAATTATGATTTTTGGATGCATTTCCCCTTTTGCAAAGAAGCTGTCTGTCTGATTCTGTGTACAGATACATTGCCTCGTTTATTTCGCGCTGTTGATGAGGCTTGTAATGTCTGTGGGTGAGATTTTCCTTGATTTTGGCTCAAGAGCACAGACCTCGGGTAACCCGAGCTGAACCTGCCTCTGACCCGCAGGTCCGGATCAAACACTGCTCTGTTTGGGTTCGACTTTGGCTTCCGTCCTGTCGAGTGTTTTCAGCGTCAGCCGCTCTGAGCCGCCGGCCCGTCTGAGGAGGCGCTGGAGGGGGTTTGTGGGAGGCGGTCGCGTCCAGAACCGCCACTTCGGATCAGGATTGAGTCAGGAGGTTCCCCACACAGACGGGACCATGAGTTCACAGCGTGCCAGTCAGAGACGCGTCTCTGCGCTTTAACTGTGTGTTAACTTGAGTATGCATGGAAATAGCGTGCTGTGTGTTTGATATGTGGCAGGTAGGTTGAAGGCATGGATTATAGTCTGTTATCAGAGCGGAAAGATGATTTCATGTCTGTTTTACAGGCGCCGTGAATCCGCTGATGCCACAGAAAGAGACGCCTCTTCAGACTGAGCCGCAGACGTTTGGGACAGACTTACTATCAGGTGAGTTCAGCATCTGCTTCACGTAGTAAATAAAGCTTTACCAGAGTTGTGACGTGCACTATAAGATTGAGTCCACAATGCAGATGATTGTAGTCAAGAACTGCCCACTTAGACACAGAAGAGACCGTCTGACTGAGTTTGTGTTGTTTTTATGTCGTTTAGGTGCAGGTTTTTCTTGTGAAATAGATTAAATGGCAATAATAGACCAGCATGGAAAACACAGTCAAATACTAGTGTAACAGAAAAACCTATAGCAGAAGAAAATATAGATGTAATCAGATCAAAATGTCTTTCTATACACAGTTTTATTTTTGTCTTTAATGCATGTTATAATTTTTTATTAAAAAAAAATTTTTTTTATATAGTTTTATTATTTTTTACAAAAATTAATCAGACTTTTGACTGTATATATACAAATTTATATAGATAGAAATTTAAAACAATTCACCACCTTCAGTCGGTTCAATCAATCAATTATTTCTTTCTTTTTCTTTCTTTCTTTTTCTTTCATGGGTTTAGTTTACATTTTTTTGGTTAATTAACATAGTAATACATACATGTTACTTCACAAACATAAATCAAAAACATTTTTGCTATTGAATTTCTCGTTTAATCTGCTGTTAAGAGCCTAAAACTAAACTCTGGGCATCTTTCAAAGATTTGATGATATAAAACTCTGACATTGGCAATAAAGCACTTCCTTTAGGATGAATCGCTTTGTAAGTTGCTTTGGATAAAAGTGTCTGCTAAATGAATAAATTTTCATGTAAATCCGGCGTGAAGTTCTTCCTCAGAAGTGTTCATTGTGTCTGTAGTATGACTTTGTTGTTAGTCACAGAAGTTGTGTAAAGTCAGCCAAAATCAGCCAGATGGAGAAAGAGTTTTCCGGTTTAATGCACAATATGCATCAGATTAACAGTGAACAGATTGTGGATGGAAACTCAGACAGTTTCTTACTAAAATTATATTTTGAAACTAGCTGATATGATGATAGGATAGAATGCTCTGTGTTTTCTTCCTGTCTAGAGTGCCTTCTGGTGCTCCTTCACTGTGTTTCTGTGGGAGTTTTCTGGTCCAGCAGGTGAATCACAGGAGCACAAATACTGACTGATTGTTTTTGCGGTTGCTGTTTTCTTTGAGAAATGACAAATGTGACCCTGGAGCACAAAAGCAGTCTTAAGTCGCTGTGGTATATTTGTAGCAATAGCCAACAATACATTGTATGGGTCAAAATGATAGATCTTTCTTTTATGCCAAAAATCATTAGGATATTAAGTAAAGATCATGTTCCATGAAGATATTTTGTAAATTTCCTACCGTAAATATATCAAAACTTAATTTTTGATTAGTAATATGCATTGCTAAGAACTTAATTTGGACAACTTTAAAGATGATTTTCTCAATATTTAGATTTTTTTGCACCCTCAGATTCCAGATGTTCAAATAGTTGTATCTCGGCCAAATATTGTCTTATCCTAATAAACCATACATCAATGGAAAGCTCATTTATTCATCTTTCAGATGATGCATAAATCTCAATTTCAAAAATTTGACCCTTATGACTGGTTTTGTGCTCCAGGGTCACAAATGAACATTTCCATCTGTGTGTTTCCTATCACTAGTAATAACCGGCTGCTTGTGGCGGCTTGTTTTGTCTCTGTAAAGCCTCTTAGAAAACACTCGTGACTTCTCTTCTCTCATTGAAATGCAGCGCAGCATCTGCTCACTCGTTCGTCACGCCCTGTTGTTTATCTGCTCTCTCCGTCTCTCTTTAGACTCAGTGTCTGGTTTTGCTGATCAGTGGAGCTCACAGTCCAGCCCTCCGCAGACGATGGCAGCGTTCACAGGTGACCACCATCATAAACAGAGTTCAAAACCTAAATCACCTGATCTCTGCCATCATTCCAGAACAAATTATAGTTTGCAATTTACCAGTGCTTTATTAAAGGTGGTGAATTGTTATGCAAATTATATTTATTTTCAACAATAATAATAATATTAAATTCAATAATGTATTTAATACATTTTGTTATAATACTGTAGAATCTTCTAAATCTTTTATTTATTATTAAATCTTTTATAAATAGTTGTATTAATTAAGCTGTAATATTTGATAGTTTTAGCAGTAATATTTGCAGTAATGATAATATATTGTTATTGTTATTATTATTATTAGTAGTAGTAGTAGTATCATTATTATATAAATTCATGCCATTTTATATTTTATACAAATATAAATATTTTTATTTTAATAACAAATTAATAATCATAATAATTAATAATAAATCCAACTACTGTATTACTGCTACAGATAATAGATAATTATTAACAATAATGTGTATTAATAATTTATTAATAATATTACTATTATTAATTATTATTATAATTACTATTATTATTATTATAATATTATACTACTGCTACTACTACTATTAATTATATATATATCTCTCTCACAGCATGATCCATGAATACAATATATTCAAATACAAATCAGTGATCAAATAAATGAAGCCTTGGTGTGCATAAGAGACTCTTAGTTGTTTCAAACTTGTGACTGGTAGTGTATATACTTTAATTAAAATTTAATTAACTTTTTTTTTTATATCAATAAAATAAAAGATACACATTGAGGGGGAAATATATATATGAATATATTTAAATATGAAATACTGCAACAGATAATATAAAATATCACAGTTTAAAATATTGCAATAAACTACAATGTATTATATAAAATACTTAAAAAAATTAAAATACTAAAAATAAATAAATACAATTACATAATACTTTTGACTGCATCTTTAGTCATTTAATTTTGGGGTGTATATAGAGAGAGAGAGAGAGAGAGCTTTGAAAATCATTATTCTAATGTGATTTAGCTGATTTCCAGTGCCGCTCGTTAATTACACGCTTTTATTTGTTCAGTGTCATCTTGTTGGAGCTTTCTCCGGCCATTAATTAGGTTTACTAAAATTGTGTGTCCAGCAAAACAACACCTCTAATTACCCCTGACCTCGTTTAATGCAGATCTCACATCTTCTCCTCCTGTGATTCCTGTTTTGAGTGCGATACACATCTATCTACGGTAGTTATATTGGTTATAGATGTTGGGGAAACTTTAAGTTTGTGGTAACATCTTGTTGAAAGTCACAGACAAAAACTCCACCATCTCTCTGGTCGTGTGCTGATAAATAAAGATTTGATTCGATGTAACCTGGAGCTTTTATTCTGCACTCTAATGGGCCGCATTAGTAGTAAAGCTAGTAATGAGAATGAGCGTGAATTCATTAGCAGGGTAAACGAACAGGCCTGTTTCTCTCTGGGAAGACAATAGCTGATGATGGCGCTGGTTTGAAGGGGCTCTTGGGAGGTGATGAGTCACGCTCGCATCAGAATTCAGCTCAGATGCGGCGCGGTGGATTTCACCACCTGTTACAGACCCACTCGCTTTCTGTCAAACCTCATGTCATACAGAAACATACATCTGTCCAATCTGATAAACGTGGATGACAGATACATGCATATATCATAGATGCATCAGCATCTCAGCTGATGTGATCCATGTCTGGATCGTATTTCAATGCAATATCAAAACAAAGAGATAAAAATATGTTTTACTTTAAGCCTTAAGGCTTTTTTTTTTTTTTTTTGACCATTAAGAATTTGTTTGCATTGTGAGATTGTTTCTTAATGACAATTAAGTGGAGGCTTCTTGTATATTTGTCAAGTAGGTTAAATAATCTATTTAATAAATGTAATGTGCTTAATACTGTGGAATCTTCATATTCATATTTATTTATTTATTAATACTTCATAAACTATTTTACTTAATTTTAACAAACAATGTTAATGTTATAAATGAACTATTGTATTACTACTAATACTTAATAATAATAATTATTACTATTGTTGTTGTTATTATTAGTATTAGTGTTATTAGTATTATTAGTAGTAGTTTTATTAGTATTATTATAATTATTTACTGTGTTAAAAGACCTTTAATGTGTTTTAATACTGTAGAATCTTCTGCAGAATCTTCAAAATCTTTAGTATTTCTTTATCATTTTAATAAATATTATTAAATGTAATGTTAATATTATGAATCCTACTACTACTACTAATAATAATTATAATAATTTAGTAGAAGTAGTAGCAGCAGCAGCAGTGTTATTTATAATAATAATAATAATAATAATACATTATTATTTTTTAATGATTCATTCTCGAGATTATCTTGACCAGCCACAAATACTTGGTATAATGAAGTAAATATGTCATGTATTTGACTTCTTTCTGAATGTCTTTGAACCCGTAGGTTTGTCTCAGCCCAGCGTAATGTCAGCGGTGATCACAGGTGCTGCTCCTTTCCAGACAGAAAGACCGTCTGGTTTGGCCGAAGTGCAGGAGCCGCCAGCTGCTCAGGCCACCGAAGCCCCCAAAATACCAGCTGAACCCCTGGCAGCCACCACACCCAAGAGCCCACGGGACACATCTGCAGGTAGAGAACAAAGCTCTGCACAAAAACACCATGATGTTGAGTGTATGTCGATATTATATACATTTCATGTGCATTATGGTCTCAGAATTTATCTTTCTATAAAGCAGTAAAGTCTTATTGCATGTAATTGTCTTCTAATGCTGTTCATCTCCTTAATATGTAGTGCATTTCACTCATGTACTTCCCATGTGTTTTGTATGAGGGATTATGGGATTCCTACAGGAGCCCCTGTGGAGCAAATATCTAATCTATCAGTAATTAAAGCTAAGGCTGTCCACTGGGAGGCACTGTAACGAGTGCTAGACTCAGTTACATTATCAGTTGTCCAAACTAGTCAAATCCATCCATTCTGGTATCGCAGGGGCCTTTAGGGCTTCACAGCTGTATGGGGTTAGTACAGTGCAGCTGAGACCTAGAGTCATGCCACTGGTTTATATCAAGCTCAAGAACCATATTCTGCCTGGTTTGATGCTCCGGGCTGGTTGTTGATGTGCAAACAGTGTGTTACACACCTAACAGATGGAGGGTCAGACCTGTAGAGTCATATTAACTCATGCATGAGTCAGTTTTCTAGTGCCTGGTCATTAAATCACCCAGATGGAAATGAGATGTTGACATCATAAGCGTACTTATAATAGCAAATGTAATATTTTTATCTGTCTAGTGTATAAATTTATGTGTATGAGTTTCTTTATTTTGAAGAATGTGGGTAATCAAACAGTTGACGGTAGCCATTGACTTCCATTGTATTTTATTCCATACTTTTCGGAAGTCGATGGCTACCAACTGTTTGGTTACCAGTATTCTTCAAAATATATTTTTTGTGTTCAACAGTACAAAAAATAACTCGTACAGGTTTGGAACAAATTGAAAGTGAGTAAATGATGACAAGACTTTCTTTTTTGGGTGAACTGTCCCTTTAACAGTCACAGATGGAGTGTGTCCCATAATGCATTGCACTCTCACAGGCTCACCCCTGTCAGTCTGAAGAGCACAGATCCATCTGTGCGATTTATCTGAGCGTGTCATATCAGGACAGATTGTCGGGAACAACACGCGTCATGCTACAGACTATCCCAGCTAACAAAAATATTCTAAGACCATTTTGCTAATGTTCCCTTTCAGTTATCAAAACGTTATTTCTACATGATCTCTGCATGTTTAAAACATTAATGTTTTAAAAACTTATTTTGGTAATGCAAACTTTAAGGAAACATTCTGTTTTAAGTAGTGCTGTCAAAAGATTAATTACGATTAATTGCATCCAAAATAAAAGTTTTTGTTTACATAATATGTGTGTGTGTGTGTGTGTATGTTATGTATATTTATTATGTATATATAAATAAACACACATTCGTGTATACATTTAAGAAAAATATATTACATTTATATATTAAATATATTTATATATGAATATAAATATATACATGTAAATTCATGTAAATATTTTCAAAATATATGCTGCATGTGTGTGTACTTATATATACATAATAAATATGCACAACACACAGGCATGTAAAGAACAACTTTTATTTTGGATGCGATTAATCGCGATTAATCGTTTGACAGCACTAGTTTTAAGATTTTTCAAACATTATGGAAATGTTACTTTTAAATGTTCTATGAACATTTTTAAACAAGTAACATATAAAAAACGTTACATGTCTAATGAAAATGTTTCAGAAAAAAATGTTAAATGAACAATGTAAAAATTGCTGTGCTAGTTTCAAGAACATTATTAAATACCAGATAACTCAATGAAAGTTCATTAATGTTACTTGAACATTTGAACAACTTTAAGAGAACCTCGCCACAACGTTAGTCAAAGTTGAGAACATTCCCTGTTCTAGGACAAAGATATGTGGGTCAGTCAGGCTTGCCATTTACTATACGAAAAATCGTCCTGCATTACTGTGTTACTGTGCAAATTCAGACCCCACAAATCATCTGCTCGTTACTTCTGATAGAGCAGACTAGACCTTGTACACAATGAATTATGCTTGCTTGACCTCAGTTGCCCAGTCTGTTTCATGCAAATCTTCTGCAGAAATGTAAAAGAGACAATGACTTTCATTGTTTTTTTTGTTTTGTTTTTGTTTTTGTTTTTTATTCTTGTCCAGTGGGGGGAAAAAAGATATATTACTTGAGAAGCAGCACTTCATAAGATTAATAAGACTTGTTTCATAGACTGTGTCTTGAATGTCTATTTTGTCATTTTGACTTTTTTGACTTGAAAACAAAAATCTACCTGTGCAGTAAGCCAAAATACATCCGTATTCAAGATGCATTCTATTAAAGTCTTATATTTAAGTAGAAGTAGATTATTCTTGTATATTTTTAATGAAAAATTAGACCACGTACCTATGAAGAATTGTTTTTTTTTTTTTTTTGCTGTACATGAAGGTTTGTTTTAGTACTGTTTACATGGTTCAAGATTTTTCATCAGTTACGGTTTATGTCACGCAACCCCCACATTTCAGCACCTTCATTTTGAGAAATGCAATGAAATTTCAAATTCTTGTCAAGCACATCTCTAAATTAACTGCTTCATTGTAGAAATTAAACATTTACAAGGTGTTTCATGTAATAGTTTTTACTATATCAAGTATTGCAGTATAATTGAAATATTGCCCAATGAGCATCCAAGGCTGCAACTATCCATTTCTAAAACTAAAAAAAAAATAATGCATGCTTTTACTGTTCTCTATTTTGTGCTACATGCACATATTGGTTAGCATCTTAAAATATGTTCACAATTGTTTGATTGGGATCTTTGCAGATTTGTAAGATTTATCAAATGGGGTGATTGATAAGTAAGCGAATGTGTGAGAGAGCATAAAAGGGAGTTAGTGCTGCTCTAATTTCCATTCTTCTTTGCATGCGAGGTGTCTTTGGTGACCGCTGGTCCGATGAGGCTGGCATTCCATCTGACCTGCCCTTCACGCCCAGCGTTTCCACCATTATCAGTCGCCATGCCGGTCCTCTAGTAGAGAGCAGCCCACATGTCCCGGCCGACCCTCAGTGGTCCCCGAGAGATAGCGGGGCAGGAGATGCAGAGGAAAGGGAAGGTGAAGGATCTGACCGTAAGAAGGAAAAGAAGAAGAAAAAGCGGAGACCCAGGGACGAGGTGTACGACTTCCCCACGGATGTGCAGAGCGAAAGTGCTTTATCCGACAGCCCCCATCAGCCATCCCCGCGCAAGGAACGGGACCGAGACGGAGGCTGGGAAGACGGAGGCCACTTTGGTGGGAGAGTCAAGAAGCCAAAAAGCCGTAAGAAGATTCCCGAGGAATGGGCGATCCATGCAGACCCCTTTGTCCCTGCTTCGGCTTGCATGCCGCAGGAGTTCTCAACTGATTTCTCCCAATCATCCCTTGAAGTTGACAGCGGACTTGTGTCGCTTTCTGAGGACTTCACCGATGAGAGTCTCATTCCTATGTCTCTTACCCAAGATCTTCTATCCCTCACGGCCACTTCCCCACCATCCTCAACGCATCTTGAACCTGCAGTGCCCTCTCCAAAGTCTCCCGGTCAAGCCCCCGATTTATTCCCCCAGCACCCCTTATCCATGCCACCCGGATTCCAAGATATCCTCATGGAAACTGAAGATTCTCTTGCTTGCAACCTCAGCGACACTCAGCCTTTTGTCTCTCCTGGTGCGACCTTTGAGGAAGCAATCTTTGGACAAGATCACACCTACACCACCCAAGATTCACCATTAAAGGAACCCCAGGCATCCACCCCTGGAAGCACTTGTTTTGTACCACCGATGGAAGCACTGATCTCGGCACCGCCGTTTTCTCCATCTGGACCAGCATGGTCTCTTAATAACCACAGTCAACCCTTTGATCTTGAAGGTGTTGCCTTTGAGACCCCGGTTCCTGCACCTCTGCCTTCGCCCAAGAGCAAAGCCCCAAAGGAACCCAAATCCAATGGCAAGAAGCCCGGCTCATCCTCATCAAAGAGTCCAACCTCCCCTGAAGCAAAGTTGCCGTCTCCCCAGAATTCCGGTCTAAATCCGTCCGCTCCGCCGTTCTTCCCTAGTTTTGCAGAACCTCGGGAGCTCAAAGCAGGAGCGTTCTTCACTTTGGAAGGTTTGTTGTGGACGTTTGGGAAGTGGATCCACGTAATGCATGGCTGAGTGGATTCCAAGTCTGGGCTTGAGTGATTTAAACTGCACACCGCAATAACTAACACATCACCCGTCAGCTGGAAGCAAAGGTCAGGGTTCGCTCAAAGCGAGCTGGCTTGGTTTTGCTTGGGTGTTTCTTCCACAATGAATGACCAACTGTGTAAACAAGCAAGACTCCCCCTTCCTCCCCATTAACCTTGTGATCCAGGGTGTACTCTACTAATCCAAACGCTTTGGTTTGCAGTTTGTCGAGGAGGCATTGTTGTTCCCTCACAATTTTGCATCTCTGCTGTTGTGATTGTTTCTTGTACTAGCACTGGTGGCACCTAACAGTGACAATCTTTTCTCTCGGTTTCCCACCACCCCTTCATATTTCTCTTCCAGCACTTTTAGAGTGAATATGAACCACCCTTGTCACTTTATGAATGTATACAAAGTACAATACAGTTGTAAGTGATATGTTTTCTTTCTTTTTTCTCTTCCATGTTCCCCGACATCAACACAACAATTAGGTAAGTCAACATTTCTTTAGTTATTGCTTTCTCTTTATGATGTCTATTGTGAGTGCATTGTGTAACATCTTTCATTCATAACTTCCTATACTTACCATTTATTGCTGTAGTAGTCTCATGACTAGACGATACTGTGTGTCATTAGCGGACGCCCAACAGTGATTTGCGACTTCAGAGCAACTAAAGGTCATTATTTGATTGTGAAAGTTGGCGATTTGAGGCAATTTGAGTGGTTGAGAGTGTTGGTGATGCAAGAGTTTAGCTCTATGCAAATTTGTAATGATGCTACAACCAATAAGAGAGCAGATTGTGAAATGCTAGTGTTGCAATTGGCGACATGCAGTGATATAATCATTGCCAGAGTCTGAATGCCTCTTCAAAGTCGTTTGTAATGGAAATTAACTACAGTAGTCAACATTTGAAGTGGATCAAAAAAGTTCATCAAAGTTGTCCTAAGACAAGAACGCATTTTGGTTTTAGGTTTTAGGACAGTGAAACCTATGATGAAAGGTTTTGATCCACTTCAAATGTTGACTAGTTGTAGTTTGTATCTCAAGTCCAAATTAAGTGAATTGGAATGTGGTACAGAAAGTCCTCGTAGCTCGATAAACAATTTACTAGCTTGTTTTCAGTAAAGCATTTACGTATAAGATAAATGTAAACTAGATTCACTAGTGCCATCTGTAAAAATTTATCGTAAAATGGCAGAATGTTTAGTTTCAAGCTATTGAAGTCAACATGAAATAAAAAATTGACTTTGTTTACTTTGAGTTTTTTTTTTTTGTGCTATTCAGTTCCTATTGGCACTTCACCATTGTTTAAAATCAAAAAAGTGTGCTTCACTTTGAAATGCATGACATTGTGGAAATAAATTTTCAATAAATAAAAGGCTTTCATGTAATAACCTTACCACAACGTAAGCTACGCAACTGCAGAAACGCAGTGTAGTATCTGAGAATGGCTGGTTGCTGGTTTTAGATTCTGTGTGTAGCGCCTTTATTAGAGAGAGAGTGAGTGTGTGTGTGTGTGTGTTTGAGCGCGTCTGACACAGCTGTCTCTTTTAGTTCTTTGTAATTTTCGGCTCTTTCTCCAGTGGGGAGGGACTCTGTCACTGAGGGAGCTACTTATACACTCTGGGAGACAGGACATCAGCGTTCGGTGTCAGACTTCCCAACATGCAAATTAATGACAGTGTACCGTAAAGTGTGTGTGTGTGTGTTGTACTATGAGCTGTGTGTGTGTGTGTGTGTGTGTGTGTGTGTGTGTGTGTGTGGTACTATGAGCTCATGAGATGAAAATAAGGAAACTGTTAGCTCAGTGTCAAATATCACATTAGAGTGAATTCTATTAATCCATGTTGTGTTGCCTGCAGTAATACTCCATTTGGTGTTTGTTACCGCGGTAAATGTTTTAGTAAAAGAGTGACTGAACAGAAGTCTTCAGCAGTCCTAGAAAATACACTTATGGTTTACATCATATGGATCATATTTCTTGTGATCAGTGTATTGTGAATGACTAATTTTAGTTAAAATGTTAATAATTTTGTGCAATTGTCATTTTTGTTAGTCATTAGTTATTTTTTCATGTGTTTTATATATTTATTAATTGTATAATTTATTATACATTCCTAATTAGCTTTAATTTTAGTACTTGAAGTTTATTTCAGTTACATATTTCATTTGTTTTTCAACCAATATTTTTATTTTACTTTATGTTATTTCAAATAATATAATAAATACTTGTAATGCATGTGATGTGTAAAAATGCATGTGCAGTCCTCTAAATATACCCCATATCCATCAATAGCATGTTTCAAGGACGCACATCTTTAATGTTTTTGTTGAGGACTTTTCAAAGTAAAATTTCTGCGTGAGTGCATCCTGTGAGCATCTCTGAATGCCGCTGATTGTTTTGTGTCGTGATGTCTTTTATGTGGTTGTGCTCTTGTGAATCTGTGAGCCGCTGGTGACGGCCAGAGACATTGATTGTGACTTTGAGTAGCATGTGGTGTTATGAATGAAGGAGTGTTAACACACATACACAGAGTGACTCAGCTCAGACGCTTGTGATGGGGAAAACAGACACTTGAGTTTAGTTGTTTCTCTGTGAATCTGATGTTTTCGATGCTAGTTTACATTTTATAGAGATTCATTTGGGTTTTTAAACAGGTATTATGGAGCAATGATATCGTATGTTATCCTATTTGATTGTGTCGTTTTGTATCGTATGTTTTGCATGCTTAAAAACTAACAACACAATAAGGATGCTTATTTTTTCATTTTGGCTCCATCTAAATAATGGGCTTCAAAATGACTGTTGACTTTAACCAGCTCTTTACTCACACTGACCTGATTACAGCACATCGAATTGCTGTTCACATACAACTGTTGCTCTCAGATCATTCTCAAGTGAGGTGTTCTGTTTATTTTCATTTACCCAGTTCACAGTTTTTCATTGCTCTTTTTTTAATTGAAAGATGAATTCTAGTCAGAACTGCTTGAGGGTTAAAGTGTTTTTGTGTTTTATTTCTTTTTTTATGTGCATATGCGTCATACAGATGTCTTATGCATCATACAGTCTACTTTGGTTGTTGCATTGCTTTCATGAGTGTTTTTTTTTTTTGTTTTGTTTTTTTGTCCAGTTGGTAATTTAGAAATGGACAGTCAGAAAAATCCATTTAGTGTTTACTGCAACATTTTACATTTTCAGTATCCTACTCTAAAAGAGAGGAAAAAGCACCAAGTGTGGCAAATATTCAATATTGCATTAGAGTTGAAATGCAATGACAAACATTCTGCATTGTTAAATTTGGTTGTGCTCTATCTACCTGTTTGGTTTGTATGTTTGTTTGTTTGTAATGCAAGGTTGTGTGTTTTCTTTTTTTCCATATCTGTGTCATACATAGTAAAAGCACTGAATGTTTGACAGCGATGCAGCGCGAAAGCTCCCGGGTCTCCAGCACATGCCTTTTTTTTGTTGTTGGTATTGTGATGCAGTGGGATTGTGGTGAAGGGATTTTTGTGACTCTCAGGAGTCAGGAAAAATAAATAATGTAGCACTAGATGATCTGTAGATATTGGCGCTGGCTACTGACCTATACTGGTTGATCATTGCAGACCTGAACCAAATTGAATTAATTGATTTACATATACATATTCACTACCGTTCAAAAGCTTAGGGTGAAAGAAGTCTCTTTTGTTCACCATTATTATTGATAGCAGCATCTCTGTAGCCATGCTAATAAAATACAACTACCACTACAACTGATTTTAATTGTTTTCTATGCTCCAGACCTATATAATAACAGACGGCTGCAATAATTCTCTCTTCTATTGTCTGATTCAACTGGACGTGTCAAGAAACTCTTCACTGATTGGCTTGCGCGAGAACGCGTCATGCGAATTTTCCGCTCGAATTAAAATTTTTGAACTTGCACGGAAGACGCGATTGAGGCGAATATCGTGCGTTCGCGGCAAACGCGTCGCGCATTTCGCGTCGCCCGGTGCGAATTCGCCTCTATTCGCGTCTTTGACTTTGTATGTAATCTACTCGCGCGATTAATTACATTCGCGTCTGGTGTGAACACACTGTAATATTCTGCTTTGCTGCTCAAGAAACATTTCTGATTATTTTCAATGCTGAAAACCGTTGTGCTGCCCGATATTTTTGTGGAAACGGTGATGCATTTTATTTTTCAGGATTCACAGATGAATAGAAATGTCAAAAGAACAGCATTTATTTAAAATAGAAATCTTTGAACATTGTAAAAGTCTTTACTGTCACTTTTGATCAATTTAGTGCATCCTTACTAAATAAAAATAGTAAGTTCTTAATGACGGCACATTTTTGAGCAGTAGTTGTTTGTAAGGTGGTGGCATTAGCTATTCAATGTCTATTCAAGCTGAAACGAACGTCTCTATTCTTGGCACACTTCCAATTTTGACAGTTTTCAGGTGTGTATGTGCTGAGAATGAATTAGTATCTAGCGGCATCGCTAAGTATTATTTTACCAGGATGAAATGAACATTTATCCCATTGTTCTGCGTTAGTGAGTCACTGGATTCAGATGGAGTCAGATGGTCAAAAGTCCTGATAATCAGAGCGTTTGAGAGCAGCAGAACGATGGAGCCGTAGAGGTCAACGCATCGACTGTTGTAAACACAGACTGCCTCCAGGGAGGGCGTGGAATCTGTCTCGTTTCCACGGCGACTGAAAAGATGCTGATGTTTCCATGGTAACAAGGATAGATGCTGAGAAAGTGGCCATAAGTGTGGCTGCCATGTGACTTTTTAAATCAGAGTCTTTTTGTTATAAGATGTTGTAGTGTGCTCAGCATCACTGATAATATTCTTCTGTATTTTAACAAATGTGTCTTAATTATGGAGATATGTAAATAAGGCAGCCCGAGGCCGGTTTCTTCAACAGTTGCTGTAGCTTCGGTAGGCGGTAG